TTTTATTTTACCTTCATTTATTCCTTCTCTAATGCACTTTTCTTATGTAGAGTCAAGTTTCTGACCTGTATCATTTCTTTGTCTTTGAAGAACTTCTTTTAACATTTCTTACAAAGTAGATCTACTGGTGACAAACTCCCTCAATTTTTGTCTATATGAGTATGTCTTTATTTCTTATGTACTTTAAGGAAAGTTCCCTGGAAAACATATTCTGAATAGATTTGTTCATATAAATGTTTCAACAGGGGCTCTTGGGATCAATACTTTTGGGGGAATCACTAAGACAGGACTGGGTGAAGGGAGAAATTGAACTGCACCACAGCTGAAGCTGGGATGGCCTTTTGGGGTGCCCCCTGTGTTAATCATCTGTTGTTACAGAACAAAATACCCCAAAACTTAATTGCTTGAAGCAACAATGATCATTTATTATCTTTCATGGTTTTACTGAGTTCAGAATTTAGAACCAGCATGCCTGGGTAGTTCTGGATTAGGACCTCTCATGAAGTTGCCTTCAGATGGTGGTTTGAAATGGGGACATTTTGAAGGCTTTTTCACTCATGTGTGGTGCCTGTGCTGGGAAAACTCAAAAAGTTGAAATAGCTGAAGCTCCTTAGGCTTCTTTCTCTGTCTCTGGTTAGTTTCTCCCCTTGATATCTCCAGCATGGGGGCTTCAGAGTAGCCATGTTTTTTACACGTCACCTATAGGTTCAGGTCTCCTAAGGCATATACACAGAGTGAGAGAGAGCTAGGTGGAAGCAAAATCACCTTTTATGATCTGGCCTGGAAGTCACACTTCATTTCTCCCACTCTATCTGCCCAGACAAATACAAAAGTCTACTTGATTTGAGGAGAGGGAACATAAACTTCACTTAGTGGAGAAGTATCATCACCATATTATAAGAAGAGTAAGTGATATGGGATACATAATGCCACTATCTTTGGAAAATACACTCTTTGAGGTATTGAGGCTGGGGGATGGGCTGTGGCATGTATCCTGAGAATCTTGGATAAGCTGACTCTCTTTCGTTGAAGGCAATTCTAGAAAAAGACTCAGGGGAATGTTTCCAGTTGTCTACATTCATAAAAGCTGGTGGAATAGGTGCTTCAGTTCTAAAGGGAGGATCCAAGTGGTGTACAATAGCATCCACTGCAGGTGCTAGAAACATTCTTGTACAAGTCTCTTTGTGGACATATATTTCAATTTATCTTGTATATCTATCTAGGAGTGCAATTTCTGTGTCACAGGTAGAGGGGTATGTTTAACTTTGTAAAAGACTACCAAACAGGTTTCCAAAATCATTGAAATTCTCACAGCAATTTGCTAGAGTTCCAGTTGTTCCACATCCTCTGCAACATTTGGCATTGTGAGTTTTGTAATTTCAGCCATCCTAGTGGGTTTGAAATGATATTTCACTGTAGTATTAATTTGCATTTCTCTAATGACTAAGATGCTGAACATTTTCATGTGTTAGTGCCCATCCATATATCTTTTATGAAGCGTTTAAGTCTTTTGCCCATTTAAAAAAGTGGGCTATTTGTATTCTTATTATTAAGTGTATGCTTTACAATTAACAAAATAGAATTTGAATTTACAATCACACTTTTTGGAAACACTTTTACAGTTATGGAAACACTTTCTTTGTCAGAATACATTGCAAATATTTTCTCCCACTCTGTGGATTCCAATTTTTATTTTCTTAACAGTGCCTTTTGATAAGCAGTTGTTTTTAGTTTGATTATGTCCAATTTATCAATTTTTTCTTTTATGCTTAGTGCTTTTTCTGTCCTCTTTAAACAATTCTTGCTCTTTCCTAAAGTTGCAAAGATACTCCATGTTTTCTTAGAGAGGTTTTTGCTTTTAGGTCTATGGTCCATCTCAAATTGAGTTTTGAGTATGCTATGTTTTATCTCAGTCTAGCATCATTTGTTGAAAAATACTTCCCTTTCCAATTGAATTGCCTTGGAATTTAAAAAAGTGAACTGGCTAGATATGTTTTTTTCTATTTCTAAATTCTTTATTTTATTTCACTGATGTATTTGTCTCTTTATATTGATAGCATTTCATGATTGTTATGGCTGTAAAGTAAGTCATAGAATTAGTAATGTACATCATCCAAATCTTTTCTCTTAAAAGTTTGTTTTAGCTTTTCTAGGTCTTTCATATTTCCATAACAATTTTAAACCAGTTAATTTCTATAAATTTTTTTTTATTTTGGCTATATCAAATTAGGGATGATAGCAACCCTTAACAACTTTGAGTCTTCCATTCATGTGTGGCATATATGTCCACTTATTTAGATCTTTTACAATTCTCTCAATAATGAGGTTTTGCACAAATTTTTAAAAATTTATTTCAAAATTTTTATTTTTATGCTAACTTAATGGAAATTATTTTATAATTGTTTTCCAGTTATTTGCTAATATGTGGAAATAAATTTCATTTTGTGTATCTATTTTGTACTATGCAACCTTGCTAAATTCACTTATTAATTCTAGTAGCTTTTTTTGTAATACCTTAAGATTTTCAATGTATTTGATAATGTAATCTTTAACAAAGATAGTTGTTACTGGTTAAGATGTTGTTTTTCCCAGGATCATGTCTTGGAGGCTATGAAGAATGAAGCCAGCAGACAAGAGTGTGGAGCAACCAGCAAAGTTTTTAATGAGGAATGAAAAGGAAAGGAAAAGATTCCCACTAATTGGGTGGGGCTCCAAGGGAGGACACAGTTAGGGCTGTAGTGTCTAGAGTTTATAAGTACAAAAAGGGAGTAAATTACCAAGTGGCTTAGAGTTGTTGCTAGAGCCGAGATGAGTTCGCGAAACTCCCTTGATTCTTAGGCTGAAATTTTCCCAGAGGTCCAGGATAAGACTTCTTGTTTCCTGTGAAACCTTGACCCTAGTTCTCTTCTGTCTGCACTTTACCGGGACCTTGAGCTCTATCTGCCTGCATCCGGGCACTACATTCTACCTGCCTGTGTCTGACTAACACCTGCCTCAGTTCTGTTTCTTCCTTTATTAACTTTATGTTTTTATTTCTTTTTCTTGCCTACAGCACTGGCTAGCATCTTCAGCACAATGTTGAATAAAAGTGGTTACGGCAATTATATTAAAGTCTTTTCTATTGAGGGGAAAGCATTCAGTATCATGCTATAAAGTATGATGTAAGTGGTAGGTTCCTCATAGATGATTTTTATCATTTTGAAGAAGTTCCCTTTTATTCTTGTCACATGGTAAATTAAATTAATTGATTTTTCTATTGTTAAAGCAACTTTGTACTCCTGGGATAAATCTTACTTGATCATAATGTATTATCAGTTTCATATAGTGCTAGATTTGATTTGCTACTATTTTTAAAGGATTTTTGCATCTGTGTAAATGAGGTTTATTGGTCTGTAATTTTCTTTTCTTATAATTTTTTGTCAGATTTTGATATCAGGGTTATCATGGCATTTAGAAATGAAGTTACTAGTCTTTGGACTTCCCTTTGATATGGCTCCCTCCATTCTGGGATTTCTCTTCAATTTCCAGTTGTTGTGGTAGTCTTAGTTTCTTTTCATATATTAATGCACTAAGACTGTGGCTTTCTGCTGGAGTTTCAGCTACTTCTGCTATACAGACTGAGTAGTGCCCTTAGTGGAATGACTGTATATACTTGGAATAGGCTTCAGTTTGTCTGCTTTTCCTGGCTGTCCAATGTCAAGTAGTTTTTTTTAAACTTTTGTTTAGAGTTTAAAATTGTTATCTGTGGGAGGGTTAATATGGCACAATTTACTCCATCGCTATTGGAACTGGGACTCTGCTTCCTGTATTCTTAAGATTAATTTGTTCACCACCCCCCTGACTTCCACTTTGGAGACCACTGTTCCCAGATTAAAATAACCAGTCACTAGATGCTAACAACCTTTTCACAGCTATGCTTCCTGAATCTATTGACACCTAACTTTCTTAGAGCTACCGCTCTGGATCAGGCCCTCATTTAACTGGTCTTCCTCACCTCCTAACCTTGGTCACTTCCCATACTGCTTGAGGTGTTTACCTTAAAACCATTTCTTAAGATGTTACTACCTTGTTTTAAGAGGTCAGCTCCTGCAGGACTGAATCTCCTTGGCTTGGTCTATAAATTCACTCAAAATCCAGTGTATGTCCTGCTGTTGCTCCATATTTGAACCAATGCTCCTGGTATGTTACTCTGTTCCTTTGACATGTCAATATTTTCTATGTTTTTGTGATTTTGCATTTTGTATCCTGCCTACCTGGGGCCATCTTTTTTCATCTGGCTCTTCTAGATTTAGTCTTAGTACTAATTCAAATACTTTAGGAAAATCTTCCCTATATGGGTTCCTCTGTCCTCAGTATTTGTCTTCTGTGTTCGTAAAGCACTTAGAAATCTGCATGCTTACTCAGTCTATTTGTCTGTCTATCTATCTATCTATCTATCTATCTATCTATCTATCTATCTATCTATCGTCTATCTATCTATCTATCGTCTATCTCTATCATCTATCTCTCTATCTCTCTATCTATCTATATCTATCATCTATCTATCTATCTATCTCTATCAATCTATCTATTATCTATCTATCATCTATCTATCTATCTCTATCTATATCTATCATCTCTATCTATCATCTATCTATCTATCATCTATCTATCTATCTATCTATCTATCTATCTATCTATCTATCTATCATCTATCTGTCATCTATTTATTATCTAATCATCTATATAATCTCCTGTTTCCCTCGGTAGTTTCTAATCTCCTTGGTCAAGATGTTGTATCTTTCAAATATTTTTTTGCTATTCATAACACTTATTAAACACTGTATTCTCTATGCAGGGTTTTTTAAAAAATGATTTTTGTTGATGATGTTATTACAAAGAATGTTTCTCCAATGGTTCAAAATAATGGTTTTACATATATAAATAAAAAGCCACAGGCCCAAAGAGGAGAAACTAATCAGGCAGTTCTTATACTATTGTGTTATTTGTTGTTTCTTTAGGAACATTTACCGTCGAGGCAAGTGTCCCTATAGAGTTCTGCAGGAATGGTGGGACCTGGGAAAATGGCAGATGTACTTGTCCAGAGGAATGGAAAGGATTGAGATGTACCATCAGTAAGTTACTTGGAATAATACTAAGGTGTACAGTTTAGGTAACTCTTGTTTTAATAAGGGCAGCAGCAAAGCTTCTTGAAGCTTCCATTAATGATTATAGTAACAATGGGCATAATGACAATGGCTTTAAGATGTGTTTATTAGCTCAAGTAAAAAGTGAGTGCTCTTCTTGGACTATTCACCTATATATTCAATATACCTTATCTGCTCCCAACTATCAAGTTTCCTTGTAAACTTACAGTGTCTTTTCCTTGTAACTGCAATATCTACTGCAGGGCAATAGCTGATACGGTTTTCTCAGGTCCTTTCAATGGCTGATGTGCCATATTACCCCATTTCAAATACTATAGTTCTATCATATTTGACTTTTTAGAACTCAAGATGCATCTTCCCATCCAAATATATATGTAGCTTAAGTTCTTGTCTTTTCTTCTTTTCTTATGGAGGGATGTTATTAAATAAGTGGTTTGACTTCAATCAATAACATTTCACAATCAAAGTTCAAAGCCAGTTCTTGATCGGCAGTGTGCTTCTTAATACTCTGCATACTTCATGCTGTCTGCTTAGGATCCAGAGTTCTAGAAGCTCACTCATCGTTACTTGCTCTCCTACCAGCCAGTATATCTCACATATCCCCTGACTTTAGCGTTTGTTGCTGCTGCTGTAGTTTCTACATATTCAATTTTCAGGGTTTCAACTTATCTGAAACACTATCCGTTCTGATGTGCTGTGATCACTTCCCACCACTACCAAGTTATATATTGTGCATATTTTAAGTGGAACATGTTATCCGACATACTATTTATTCTAATGGTATCTAACTAGATAAGACAGTGTGAAGTTCTTATGGGCCAATGAGTTCTATAAGCCTTCTATTACCCTTCAAATTACACTGCATAGGTTTTTGAACTTCAACTTTTACCTGGTTTGAAATTTGAAAAAAAGTATAGTTAATTATAAAACATATATTTTTATTTCCATTATAGCTAATTTCTGTGAAAACAGTACCTTTGAGGATTTTACTTTTGCCAGAATTCCAGTGGGAAGATACGGAACTTCCTTGCAAACATGTGACGAGATCACGCCAAATGGTAAGTGTTTTTCCAAACATCTCCTCTGGTCAGGCATATGAATCACTATGCTGGATCATACCTACCATCCTCCCAACTAGTATTAGGCCCCTGGAAGAGGCACCAAGGAAGGTTTTGTGGAAGGATTTGGCTCCCTCTCATGATGCCAATGTTCAAAATTAAGGGTGCAACTGCACATAATTCTGATTTTCCTAAAAAATGTAATAAGCAACTGTTATAAATTATTTTTAATCCTTCTTCAGTTGGTTTGTTTCCAGCTTACCGTATTTCCTGGAGTTCAATCAGGCTATCATCTGCTCTTGAGTTTTATAATTTGTCTCATTAAAGATTAGCTAGACTATAGATTTACACATCTACTCTAAGACTTCATATTTCTAGGAAGAGATGCTCAGTTAAATCTGTCCACAGTTGCTAGTACTTCATCTCCTTGGTCACTTTAGTTATCTATTTTAGAACATTTCTTAGCTTCATGATACCTTTTTATTATTATGAAGATATCATTGATACACAATCTTATGAAGGTTTCACATGAACAACATTGTGGTTTCAACATTCACCCATATTATCAAGTCCTCATCCCTACCCACTGTAATCATTCTATATCAGCATAATGAGATGCAATAGTCATTACTTGTCTTCTCCATGCTGTACTGCCTTCCCTATCTCTACTGTGATTGCAAATTATAGTGCTCCTTAATCGCCTTCTCCCTCCCTCTCCACCCACCCTCCCCAAACCCTTCCCTTTGGTAACTACTAGTCATTTCTTGGAGTCTGTGAGTCTGCTGCTGTTTTTTTCTTCAGTTTTGCTTTGTTAATATACTCCATGAATGAACGAAATCATTTGGTACTTATCTTTCTCCATCTGGCTTATTTCACTGAGCATAATACCCTCTAGCTCCATCCATGTTGTTACAAATGGCAGGATTTGTTTCTTTCTTATGGCTCAATAGTATTCCATTGTGTATATGTACCACATATTCTTTATCCATTTATCTATTGATGGACACTTAAATTGCTTCTGTATCTTGGCTATTGTAAATGGTGCTGTGATAAACATAGGGGTATATATGTCTTTTTGAATCAGGAACCTGTTTTCTTTGGGAAATTCCTAGGAGTGGAATTACTGGGTCAAATGGTATTTTTATTTTTATTTTTTGTGGAACCTCTATACTGCTTTCCACAATGGCTAAACTAATTTACATTCCCACCAACAGCATAGGAGGGTTCCCCTTTCTCCACATACTTGCCAACATTTGTTGTTGTTTGTCTTTTGGATGTTGGCCATCCTAACTGGTATGAGGTGATATCTCATTTGTGGTTTTAATTTCCATTTCCCTGAGATTAGTGATGTGGAGCATCTTTTCATGTGCCTGATGGCCATCTGACTTTCTTCTTTGGAGAAGTATCTGTTCAGCTCCTCCACCCATTTTTTAATTGGGTTATTTGTTTTTTGGGTGTTGAGGTGTGTGAGTTCTTTTTTTATTAAGGTATTATTGATATACACTCTCATGAAGGTTTCACATGAAAAAACAATGTGGTTACTACATTCACTCATATTATTGTGTCCCCCCCATACCCCATTGCAGTCACTGCCCATCAGTGTGGTAAGATGCCACAGAGTCACTATTTGCCTTCTCTGTTCTACACTGTCTTCCTTCCCCATGATCCCCCCACACACCATGTGTGCCAGTCATAATACCCCTGAATCCCCTTCTCCCTCCCTCCCCACCTGCCCTCCACCACCCCTCCCCCTTGGTAACAGCTAGTGCCTTCTTGGAGTCTGTGAGTCTGTTGCTGTTTTGTTCCTTCAGTTTTGCTTCATTGTTATACTCCAGAAATGAGGGAAATCATTTGGTACTTGTCTTTCTCCATCTGGCTTATTTCACTGAGCATAATATCCTCCAGCTCCATCCATGTTGTTGTAAATGGTAGGATTTGTTTCTTTCTTAAGGCTGAATAGTATTCCATTGTGTATATATACCACATCTTTATACATTCATCTACTGATGGACACTTAGGTTGCTTCCATATCCTGGCTATTATAAATAGTGCTGCAATAAACATAGGGGTGCATATGTCTTTTTGAATCTGAGAAATTATGTTCTTTGGGTAAATTCCTAGGAGTGGAATTCCCAGGTCAAATGATATTTCTATTTTTAGTTTTTTGAGGAACCTCCATATTGCTTTTCACAATGGTTGAATTAGCTTACATTCCCACTAGCAGTGTAGGAGGGCTACCCTTTCTCCATATCCTCGCCAGCATTTGTTGTTCTTAGTCTTTTTGATACTGGCCATCCTAACTGGTGTGAGGTGATATCTCATTGTGGTTTTTATTTGCATTTCCCTGATAATTAATGATGTGGAGCATCTCTTCATGTGCCTGTTGGCCATCTGAGTTTCTTCTTTGGAGAATTGTCTCTTCATATCCTCCACCCATATTTTAATAGGGTTAGTTGCTTTTTGGGTATTGAGGCGTGTGAGTTCTTTATATATTTTGGATGTCAACCCCTTGTCGGATATGTTGTTTACAAATATATTCTCCCATACTGTAGGATGCCTTTTTGTTCTGCTGATGGTGTCCTTTGTGGTACAGAAGCTTTTTAGTTTGATGTAGTCCCATGTATTCATTTTTGCTTTTGTTTCCCTTGCTCGAGGAGATGCGTTCAGAAAAAAGTTGCTCATGTTTATATTCAAGAGATTTTTGCTTATGTTGTCTTTTTAAGAGTTTAATGGTTTCATGACCTACATTCAGGTCTTTGATCCATTTCGAGTTTACTTTTGTGTATGGGGTTAGACAGTAATCCAGTTTCATTCTCTTGCATGTAGCTGTCCAGTTTTGCCGACACCAGCTGTTGAAGAGACTGTCATTTCCCCATTGCATGTCTATGGCTCCTTTATTGTATATTAATTGACCATATGCGCTTGCGTTTAGAGGTCTGTGAGTTCTTTATGTATTTTGGATGTTAACACCTTATCAGATAAGTCATTTATTAATATATTCTCCCATACTGTAGGATGCTTTTTTGCTCTGCTGATGGTGTCCTTTGCTGTACAGAAGCTTTTTAGTTTGATGTAGTTCTATTTGTTCATTTTTGATTTTGTTTCTCTTGCCTGAGGAGATGTGTTCAGGAAAAAGCTGTTCATGTTTATATTCAAGAGATTTTTGCCTATGTTTTCTTCTAACAGTTATTTGGTTTCATGACTTACTTGTGTAAGCCATGTGTATTCAAGTCTTTAATCAATTTTGAGTTTACTTTTGTGTATGGTGTTAAACGATAATCCAGTTTCATTCTCCTACATGTAGCTAGCTGTCCAGTTTTGCCAACAGCAGCTGTTAAAGAGGCTATCTTTTCCCCATTGTATATCCATGCCTCCTTTATCATATATTAATTGACCTTATATATGTGGTTTTTTATCCGGGCTCTCTATTTTGTTCCATTGATTTGTGGGTCCTTTTTTGTCCCAGTACCAAATTATTTTGATTACCATGGCTTTGTAGTAGAGCTTGAAGTTAGGAAGCATAATGCTCCCAGCTTTGTTATTCCTTCTTAGGATTGCTTTGGCTTTTCGGGGTCTTTTGTCGTTTCACATGAATTTTACAACTATTTGTTCTAGTTCATTGAAGAATGCTGTTGGTATTTTGATAGGAATGCATTGAATGTGTAGATTTCTTTCAGCAGGATGGCCATTTTGACCATATAAGTTCTTCCTATCCATGAGCATGGGATGTTTTTCCATTTATTGGTGTCTTTCTTAGTTTTCCTCATGAGTGTCTTATAGTTTTCAGGATATAGGTCTTTTACCTCATTCATTAGGTTTATTCCTAGGTATTTTATACTTTTTGATGCAATTGTAAATTGAGCTGTTTTCCTGATTCCTCTCTCTACTAGTCTGTTTTAGTATATAGTAATGCAACAGATCTGTGTATTAATTTTGTATTCTGCAACTTTGCTGAATTCAGTTATTAGTTCTCATAGTTTTTTGATGGATTCTTTAGGGTATATCATGTCATCTGCAAACAGTGACAGTTTAACTTCTTCCTTACCAATCTGGATACCTTTTATTTCTTTGTGTTGTATGATTGCTGTGGCTAGGACCTCCAGTACTATGTTGAATAAAAGTGGTGAGAGTGGGCATCCTTGTCTTGTCCCCAATCTTAAAGGAAAAATTTTCAGCTCTCGCTGTTAAGTATGATGTTGGCTGTGCAATTGTCATATATGGTCTTTGTTATGTTGAGGTACTTACCCTCTATACCCATTTTGTTAAGACTTTTTATCATAAATGGATGTTGAATTTTGTTGAATGTTTTTTCAGCATCTATGGAAATGATCATATGATTTTTGTCCTTTTTGTTGAAGTGGTGTATGACTGATTTTTGAATATTCTACTATCCTTGCACACCTGGAATAAATCCCACTTGGTCATATGTATGATCTTTTTGATGTATTTTTGAATTTGGTTTGTTAATATTTGTTGATTTTTGCCCCTGTGTTCATCAGGGATATTGGCCTGTAGTTTTCTTTTTTTGTGATGTCTTTGTCTGCTTTTGGTATTAGAATAATAATGACCTCATAGAATGAGTTTGGAAGTATTCCCTTCTCTTCTACTTTTTGGAAAACTTTAAGAAGAATGGGTGTTACTCTTCTTTATATGTTTGATAAAATTCTGCCATGATGTCATCTGGGTCAGAGGTTTTGTTTTTAGGTAGTTTTTGATTACCAATTCGATTTCATTGCTGGTAATTGGTCTGTTCAGATTTTCTGTTTTTCCCTGCTCAATCGTGGAAGGTTGTATTTTTCTAGTAAGTTGTCCATTTCTTCTAGGTTATCCAATTTGTTGGCATATAATTTTTCATAGTGTTCTCTAATAATTCTTTGTATTTCTGTGGTGTCTGTAGTGATTTTTCCTTTCTCATTTCTGATTCTGCTTAAGTGTGTAGACTCTCTTTTTTTCTTGATAAGTCTGGCTTGGGGTTTATCTATTTTGTTTATTTTCTTGAA